TGATTTGACACAAAGAATGCATTTTCTTCTAGAATAATGGTTACCAAATGGTGCCTAAGTGTACGTTTGATTGTCAATATTTTTAATGAAAAATGTGTTTTTCACCTAATTTTTTACTTTTGTGCAGTTTGATTTACAATTTTTTTACGAATATATTTTTCTACTTTTGATCACGTGAATTAAAAACAATGAAAATATTATCTTTGGAGAGACGTGATTTTTATTTTTCAGGTAATTCACTGTCTCTCTCTCTCTTATCTGTTCACTTTCTTTCATATACACACTAATAAAAAATAGACAAGTATAATATACTTTTTTATGTTGAAAACTAAATCAATCAAACACATTTAATTAATGACTTTCATACAAATAATTTCTAGACGATTGAATTGTCTAAAATTATTTTCTTTCCATATAAATTCTATGCTCGTAACCAAACGTACCCTAATCACTTTTTAGATTTTGTTGATGAATATTTGATCGGATCATAATTTAGAAGTTTAGCAAAAATAATTTTCTTTTGGAAAATGCAATTTAACAATTTTGAAATTGATTTTTTTTTTAAAAAATATAAAATTGTGAAATTGCAATGTCACGAATTCAAATTTCAAATTTCTAGGTTATTTTCTATATTATTCTTTGGTATTTGAGAAAACATGAAATCTAATTATTGCAATTTATAATTAAATACCAAGTAATGCCAACAAAATTAAACACAATAGATACAAAAATATGAAAAGTTGTATTCAACCATAACAAATGAGAGTTTGTTTAGTATATTGACCTATTATTTTACAACAAATCTTAAAAGAATTTTGAACAAAATCTTCTTTATCCCTGTTTGGTTAAACTAGAAAAGTAGATTAAAATTGAAGTCAAAATTAATAATAAATTTTAAGCACATTTTCATGAGATTTACAATTTTTTAATCACGCATTTTATCAATTTTTATTAAAATTTACTAAAAATCCGATTTTTATGTAAATCAAACAGGGGCTTAAATTTCAATACATTTTATTTTACACCAGAGTCTATTAAAAGTTCTATACATTCTTCTAAGGCAATGTTTTGCAAACTTTTCTAGGGAATATTTTTCCCATTTTATGACTGTTTGATTAGCAAGATTTTTCTTGGAAAATGTTTTCCTCTCCCTTTACCCACGCGCCTGTGTTCTTGGAAATGTGGGCAAATGTTTTCTTGTTGTTTTTGTGGGTTTTGGTTTTCAGGTTTTTTTTTTTTTTTTAATTTGAAATTGGAAAAAATTCTAGACACAATGGTAAAAAAAAAAATTATAACTTTTATTGAAAATT